GTTCTACCTGGGATGTTATTGTCAGTAAAGAATTAACCAAGTGTTTGCAACGTACTTTCAAACGGTGCAACCATCAATAAAACTCTTCATTAACAATGCAACTATCGATAAAACTCTTCATAAATAAATATAAACATCATCTCTCACTTAAAATTGTCGCCAGGGATTCGATTGCTTGCACTAGTGGGCATAGCGCTTGTTTATATAAGTCAATTCTTATAAATTTAACTTTGCCTCAAATACATGTTCAAAGAGTATGGAGCCAAAAAATGATCCGTATGGATGCTATACAAATTATTTTACTGACTAAGAAATGTCTCAAGAGATATTTAAGATGATTCTTAAATATAACAACTGACTGTAGACAAGCTTTGGTGTGCGCTCAGCGCGCACTAGTGCAAGCAACCGAAAAATCGCTATTACTTCTGGAATTTAACACGGAAATCTTTAAATGTGTAACAATTGCTTTTAATCGCAGTTTTTTCATGAGCTTTATCACTGTCTTTTACGTCAGGTGAACATGCCTACCAATATATTACCGGTGGAAATATTTAGGCGCCAATTATCTCTATCGCACGAAAAGTTGTTGTTTATTCTTGTATTTTATATGCTTCTATACACGTATTTTTCATATTTTTCCTGTTAATATTATATCATGATTATTTCAAGTATAATAACGTATTTTCCATTACACACAAGCATAATTTCCTTTTGTCCGCATATAACACGCACATACATGTATAATCCACATATATAAATTTTATACCGTAAATTAATGTTACATTTTTATAATCTATATATCGACAAAAAAAGGAACAATTGCGAACGAACGAGCGCTAAGCACGTTCTAACGCTTTTTGTCAGCTATAATTAATTGCCGTTGATATATTATTACTAATATTATTTATTAATTTGTCAATGGTTCGTAAAGTTAATCAAAGAGAAAGATAAATCATTGTGATTGATAATGCAAACGCAATTTTCGAGAGCAATTGCACGGATGACGAATCCGGCACTTGGTTTCCCTCAGACGGTATCGTATTATTTGCCAAAGCTGCGTTAATGGATTTCATTAAGGGATAATCACGCCCATCGAGCAAAGTCATATCGTCGTGCAGCGATGCACACTTGCCTCGGAAATCGTCCGTGTCTATGCTCCACACCATAACACCCGCCAGTTTCTGTCTCTTTGCATATTCCACCTAAAATGGTTCATCAGTATAAGAGTTTATTAAGTGATATTTTTGGTTGAAGCATTCCAGTTTGCGCGAATAAAATGTAGAACAGCACAAAGCGCAAGCAATAAATTAATATACATTACTTTAATTTCCCGGAGCATTTCCACAATAAAGAGAGAACGTTAAGAAAGCAAGTTACTCTGTATATTTTATACATATGTACATTGGTCCACATTCTGAATCCTCTTTTATCGCTAAAAGTGCTACTAAAATCGTTTTCGAAGGATTCTTACTGGCTGAAAGAATCTTTTATGGACACTTTCGTCGATAAAAGACGATTCAGAATATGGGCCATGGTTTCGATGGAATTCTAAATATTGAGGAAAACTATTTTCAATGATTATACGAGTTACATTTCACGAAAAGTATAAATGAGAAATACCTTGGCCATCATGGCTTTGCGATCATCGTAAACTACAACATGGTCCTTTTTAATCGCATAAGCTGTACTGCTCTCGTTGTCCCATCCAGTTGTCCAATCTTGTGGATACAAGACCAATGCCTCGCAAATCTGTACAGAAATTTTCCCATAAATAATTTATTCACATCACATCTATTTTACATTATATATTTTGTATGGTCAAGACCTGCTGCAGGTTTTGAATTCGATTATCGTAATGGAATTCTAACTTTTACGTATTACAAAATATAATGGAACAAGTTATTGACTGTCAAAATTACAGAATTTGTGAAAAGATACCATAGACTAACAATAAGTATAAATGCAGTATAAACAGATATGCGCATAGCTAAATACCTCATTGAATCCCATAAAGCCTTCTTCGGATGTGTAAGGCCCTTTGAATCCAGTATTCAAACTGGGCAGGCCAATTGGATTTATTTTAGGCGTTTCTGGTACAGTCGTAAGAATGAAAGTTCTCCCATACATCGCCAGCCCTAAGACTAGTTTCTCGGCTGGGGCTCCTTGTTGCAACAAATACGTAATAGTATGTTCCTAAATGTTGCAGATACAATCGTGATGCGATTAAGTTACTACGCTTCAGGTCATGTAATGTTCGTATAGATATGAAATTAAATTAATATAGATAGTATAGATATAGATATATAGATAGTATAGATATAAATAGTTCGTACAGATATAAAATTAAATGTTAAATATAAATATGAAATAATAATGAAATCCTAAAGTGGATAGACGTCATTGATTCTTCATTTCGGTGTGTCTGTACATTATCTTTATCGAAAATATCACATATATTTCTTACCACATCTAATTGAGTTTTGCTTCGCAATGGTGAATTTGGAAGGACTTGCTTGTTCCATGCTCCGTGATAATCATATGCCATGACATGAATGTAATCGAGATATTTGGATATTTCAGGAACATCGTACGCTGTATTAATAGTGGTATTAACGGCGCTTATAGCTGCGGTTAGAGAGAAGCGGTGTTCCCTGAAGGCACTCTTCAATTCCTATCGTAAAATAAATAACGGATTTATTTCCTCTGTTAGGAAAAGAAATGATGAAATATAATATTTCTACCTTCACGAGGCTAACAAAATTCTGTTTATCGTACTGAGTACCGCCACGGCTTCCAGGAAATTCCCAATCAAGGTCCAGTCCGTCGAATCCGTACGTTCTGTTGCGATAAAATTTAATTTTTTAAAAATAAACGTACAATAAGTTCAATAGTGTAACTGCACAATATAGATAAGACTAGAAGAATGAAACCACAATTGATCAAAATAAGGTTTCAATTATCGGCAAATGTTGTCACGTTGAAATAAATCATAAGTTATGGCGTACAATTTCTTAAGCAAAGGAGGTTCCGCTTTAAGAATTGATCTTCTACAATGGAAAGAAAACGCATAAAAGAATAATTAAGATAAATATATCACGACGAACACACTTGAGAAACTCGACAGTGCTGGCGATGAAAATTCTCCTACGATCCGGTAACGAAGCCATCGTCGAATAATTTGTACTGCCTTCGTTCCAGCCGCCGATACCGAGTGATACTTTCAGACCTTGTTTGCGGAATGCTGTCATCTTTTTGTAGTTGCCTATTCCTGTATTCATCCAGAGTTATATTCATCAAACTTTAATGCGAATTTAATATAATTTACATTATTGAATTATTATAAATTAAATCAATAATACACTAATTAATTGGCAATTTTGCTAAACAATTTAATTGAACGATTGGATGCAAGAATCAGGTGGCTCCACTTCCTTGTCACGAGTGTTATAATTTTATTATTTCCTATTAAAAAAGTAAAAAATTAAAATATATATATTTTTTATAGTTGCTATATTCAAACGTGCCATCGTTATGAACGAAGAAAATGTAAAATACTGTGACTTCTTAGATAGTTTTTTTAGTTCCTGCAAAATTTACTAAAATGGAGCTGCCTGCATTCTTGCATTTAGCCCCCTTCAGTTATTCCTCTCTTCTTTAATTTCTTTACTATAACATTAAGTTACTTGAACTCGGTTTGGTCTTTCATATTAATAATTTTGAATAACTTATTTTTTAACTAGTCAACTTTCTACGATAGTTATTAGTAAAGCCTGACGCAAGCTTGATTTCATATCGAGATTGTATTTACCATCTTTCTCCATATCTGCCCAAGGATCGAGGCTTCTTATCGTCCAATTCGAAGCGTTTAGACCAGCAAATGCGTAAATTAAATGGGTACAGTGTTCTGGGCGGAGATTGTCTAATGAGAATGCTCCATTTCCATGCCTGTAGGCCGCCCAAGATGCGACGTAGCAGACAACGACTTTGTCATGCTTCGGTCTTATGAGTCCTATAACAAAATCAGACTGATTAGTGAAATAATTACTTTGCTTATCCTTTTAAATTAGATATATGTATATTTAAGGCGATTATCAACAAATTTCGGAAATGCATACCCTTACGAAAAAGTAACGAAATGATTACTAGAAAATTACTGTATTACATCAGTAATGGAATCATTAGACATTACTGATGTACAGTAATTTCCTAGTAATCATTTCGTTGCTTTTTCGCAAGGGCATCCAAGTGCATAAAGAAAAATCGATTTCTTTCTTCATAAAGAAACATCTATGCCAAACTAATCTGAGGACTCGTAGATAAAGCGAGGCTGGAGGCTACTTTCGAGACACTCTGTATATACGCCTTCGCGAGCCTCTTATGAAAATGTCGCGTCCCCATTGTGCGGCGTGCCGGCTTTTACTTTCGCTTGTTCGTACGTAAACGCAGAAATTAATCGCTAACCGAGTGCAATATCGCAGTATATTGCGCGTATGTCGTTACAGAAGTAAAATGTACTTTCAATCCTAAATAGAGGTAGACTTAGGCTGCAAACTCACCGTGAGCACTGTAGGTCCCGAAAAGTAGAATCGTAAGTAGAAATGCCACGTCGCTGAAGGACATCGTGGCGCTATAAACTTCCTCGATGCGTATCTAATGCGTCCGACGATCTGCAACGATATTTTGAATTAGAGAAAAATATCTACGGTATCGCACCTCGAGCCCGATAAACATCGGTGCCCCGTGTTCGATGCAAAGCCGCGTATCGTCGATTTTTATTTCAGATCTAGCGCGTCTCCCGCGAATTTTCTAGTTCGCCGCGTTATCTAACGAACCCCCATTAATATAGTCGGAAGCTACGATAATCTCAGGCACGGATAACGTTAGCAAACTTGTGATCTGTTTTTTATATCACTCGCGATAACGGCGATAGCGGGAACTTCGTGTCCTTTTTGTATTTATTTTAGATAATATAGAGCGGCGAATTTTGGCTGACGTTGTTATCACAAATGGCGTTTCTTAATCGGCCCGACGTCGCCGATCGCACGTAGTTAATATTAATACGATACCAATTCGTCTGGTTGCAGACTGTAGACTGCTGAGACTGGGATACGCGCGCGTCGGCCAGGCCCAGATCACTTTCACCCGTAACTGTTCATTCTTGGGCGAGCGACGAGGAGAATGACCGCGAGAAGAGGACGCACTCAGAACCTGATATGCGTTATTGCCGGAAATTTGCTTTGTCCTTTGTGTGAATTCCTCTGCTGATTTTCTGACATAATAATAATAGTAATATCACAATATACCTGCGCGTTACATTCTGCGTGAGACGCACGCTTTATAAATGGTATACAACATTGCCTAAAAAAGGAAGAAGAAGAAGAAGAAGGAGGAGGAGGAGGAGGAGGAGGAGAAGGCGGAGGAAAAGAAGAAGGAAGGAGAGAAAGACGAGGTGAGGGAAAAATGAAAGAACGTAGATCGACGTAAAGAGGAAACGGGGGAATGAGAGAAGGCAAGCGAGCGCTGAAGAGGAAAAAGAGCAGAAGAAGGAAGTACGAGGGGAATATATGGAGAGAGCGAATAAATGTGAAAATATCGCGGAACGATGGCGCTCAGAATGGTGCCAAGACAAATGTGTCCTCCCACTGCATTGAGATACATGCGCCTATTAGGAGGAATAGAGGAGGTGCATGGCGCGACGGAATATGTTTCCTCTTGTTAATTGCAAGAATCTGTAACTGATTTTAATCAACCAACTGAGATTTAAAATCCCTTAAGTCCCAGTCTACAATAGAGATTTAAGCCCTAAGCCTTAAGAAATTGACTAATCACAGTCGCGCATTCTACTCATACTTGACCGTGATTGGCCAATTTCTTAAAGCTTAGGGCTTAAATCATCTATTGTAGACTGGGACTTAGACGTCTATAAGACCACCAAAAGAAACTGGTAGATATTTGGAACATGTACAAGTATTTACATCATCGATACTATACATCGATACTGTCGAATATTAATTGTGTTGTCCGGGATGATTCTTTAAAGCAGCTTTCGTCTTAGGATGTGTTCGAAAATGGATTTAGTTACTGCCAGTGAAAACAGTATAGTTGGTAGCAATGAAAATTACTGGTGCTGCGTTTTTCGCACGCCAGTAAAGTCAGTAAGGCTGGGTCTACATTTGGATGTCGTAAGTCGTGTCGGAAGGAATTGACCAATCACAGTTCATTATTCGACTTACGACATCCAATGTAGACCCAGCCTTACT